CACTCACCTCAGCCTCCCAAAGACGCGGGATTACAGGCTGAGCCACTGAGCCCGGCTTAACGTTTTGATTTAATGTAGACATGAGGTCTTGCCAAGCTGCCCAGGCTGGTCTCACACCCATGGACTCAGGCAATCCTCTCATCTCAGCCTCCCAAAATGCTGGGCCCACTTGCCTTTGGCAGACATAGGTGCCAGGAAACTCCTGCATTATCTCATTCAGTTCTTGCAATGCAGCCATATTTATTACCATTGCTTGATTAGGGAGGCCCCAGAAATCTGCTTTGGAGACACATAGCTCCCAGGTCAGCCACCAGTTACTAGTTATGAGCCCACAGGCAAGTTGCTGAATGTTCTTCCCCTCATGGTTAAGAGCACATGACACTGGAAAAGTGCCTTGTAGTGTCCCTCCCCCTCCTCACTGCACTTTCCATTAAATAATAATAATAATAATAATAATAATAGCTGATACCTATCCCACGTAGTGTCAACTGCTTTACATGCAATATCTAATACACTATAGCAACTTTATGGGCTGTGTACTATTAATAGCTGTAGTTAAAGATTACTCTAGCTACAAATATATATATATAGCAGTCCCTCTTAACTGTAGTTTTGCTTTGTGTGGTTTCAGCTACCTGATGTTGTCAATTTCTTATTGTGCCTAACTTACAAATTAAACTGTAGCATAGGTACATATATATAGGAAAAACATAGTATATATAGGGCTTGGTACTATCTGTAGTTTCCAGCATCCATTGTAGTCTTGGAACATATTCCCTCCAGATAAGGGGGCACAACTGTATTGACAGACACATTTATGTACATAAACATACATACGTAGATACATACGTACCTATTTGTATATACAAAGGATCTTGAGTGTCAGAGTTATGTGGCTAACAAACGCTGCCATCACTGAACTCAAATTGTCTGACTCAAACCCATGCTGTTTTTACAGCATCACCCAGTCTTATTCCTAAAGGTTTTACTCATAATACCTGCCAAAAGCAGAGCCAAGATTCTAGGTATTGCATAAGCCTACCTATTGCCTTTGGCTTTCTAGGAGGTCATCCCAGAATGAGTACAATGTAAAAACAGTAATGTAAATATTTGTGGGAATAAGATTAGTCCAGTTTCATTCATTTTGAGGTTCTGTAGCTTGGCGAGTACTTAGGGAATTTCACAGACCGGTAAGAATTTCCATATGCTGGCAGTACAATGTATGTGTTGATTATCAGCAGAGGTGCTTCATTTTCTAAAACTGGGAACTTGTTTAACCATTCCCGATCTGTTACCTCATCTATAAAAAGGGTTTTGGGTCCAGGCTCAGTGGCTCAGCCTATAATCCCAGCACTTTGGGAGGCCAAGGCGAGTGGATTGCCTGAGACCTTGGGTTCAAATCCAGCCCAGGCCACTTGGCGAGACCTCATCTCTACAATAAATAAAAAATTAGCCGGTCATGGTAGTGTGCACTTGTAGTTCCGGCTACTTGGAAGGCTGAGGCAGAAGGATCGCCTGAGCGCAGCAGGTCAACCCTGGGGTGGCCGTGTTCATGCCACTGTACTCTAGCCTGGGCGATGGAGTGAGACTCCAAAAGAAAAAAAAAGGGAAAAAAAGGGTTTTAGAAACTGGTTGTTAGGATGTAAGTGCTTAGAACATTGTAGATATTCAGTAAAAAAGAAGATTCTGTATTTGATCTATAGTTGCCTAGAAAAACCAACAGACTATATTCTCTATTACAAAATAGATATTTCAGACAGTTTGTAAACGTTTAATGTTCACACACTAAGACCAATGTATCTTATTATTTATTTATTTATTTTTTGAGTTGGAGTCTCACTCTGTCACCCAGGCTGGAGGGCAGTGGCACACTCCTGGCCAATTCAGCCTCGACTTACTGGGCTCAGGCGATCCTACTGCCTCAGGCTTCCAAGTAGCTGGAACTACAGGCATGTGCTGATATGCCAGGTTAATTTTTCGATTTATAGTAGGGCTGAGGTCTCGCCAAGTTGCCCAGGCTGGTCTCAAACCCATGGTCTCAGGCAATCCTCTCACCTTGGCCTCCCAGAAGTGCTGGGATTACACACTTGAGCCACTATGCCCTGCCTAAGACCAATGTATCCTAAACCATCTAAAATCCTAGTCTTTTTTTAAATTTTTTTTTTGAGTTGGAGTCTCACTCTGTCGCCCAGACTGGAGTGCAGTGGCCACTCCCAGCCACCACAACCCCGACCTGCTGGGTTCCGGCGATCCTTCCGCCGCAGCCTTCCAAGTAGTTGGAACTACAGGCGCGCACTACCACGCCCAGCTAATTTTTAATTTATTGTAGAGATGAGGTCTCGCCAAGTTGCCCAGGCAGGTCTTGAACCCACGGGCTCAGGCAATCCACTCACCTCAGTCTCCCAAAGTGCTGGGATTACAGACTGAGCCACTGAGCCCGGCTAAATCCTAGTCTTTATATGGTATCATATACATTGATCTTTGGACAATATATTTTCTTTCTTTTTTTTTTTTGAATTGGAGTCTCACTCTTTTGCCCAGGCTGGAGTGCATTGGCATGCTCACAGCCACCCCAGTGTCAACCTGCTGGGTTCCAGCAAGCCTTCTGCCTCAGTCTTCCAAGTAGCCAGATCTACAGGTGCATGCTACCATGCCCGGCTAAATTTTTTGATGTATTGCAGAGACGAGGTCTTGCCAAGTTGCCTGGGCTGGTCTTGAACCTGCGGGTTCAGGCAATCCACTCGCCTCACCTTCCAAAGTGCTGGGATTACATGCTGAACCACTGAGCTCGGCCGACGATATATTTTCTAAGGCATTTCTGGATCTATGTCTAGCACATTGCCATACAAGGCAGGAATTATATACTGCCCTGTTTTGGATGTTGTGACACATTTTACTCACCTTCGGAATATAAAATCAATGTGATGACCTTTCTGAACAGGGTGGCTCTGATTTTTGGATGTGCCTATGGCCTCTGGACATCCATTGGCAACTTCATAGCTAGCAAGAAAATATTTGTTACCTTTAAGTGGCATTCTTAACCTGGGTTTAACGTATTCCCTGCACATAAGGGGGCACTGCTGTATGAATGGGCTTCTGTGATTACCCTAAAATTGTAGGTAAAACTTGGTGTGTGTATGCATTTTTTCATAAAGAAAAAAAAGAGTTTATTTTCAAAGAGTCCATGACAAAAAGGTTAAGAAACATAACTTTACAAAATAAATTAATATCATGTTAATACTTGGTATGATTTTTGCAATGCCTGCAGCATTTGAGTACATTATTATTCCATTTTTTATTCATCACCAGGAGGCAATGTGAATATATTTAGTGTCTGCAGTGAAAATTCAATATTTTTTTGTAATTCTAATTAAATTTCCTTCTTGTTGAGCAGATGGGAATGGCACCGTGACACAGTCTTCAGATGGCCTTTGGCATAAGAATCAAACTGTAAGCATATTCCTTCCTGTTTGATTAGCCAGATTCACTAGTATATCTCCCTGCAAGCAAGTTACATTTGAAGACTATTTCTGTAAGACTAGCTCACAATTTGATTTTTTTCTCTTTAAAAAAGAAAGAAAGAAAAGAACGGATGCTTAAATAGGATGCTTTACTTTCTTTCTTTTTTTTTTTGAGTTGGAGTCTCAGTGCAGTGGCATGCTCCGGGCCACTGCAGCCTCCACCTGCTGGATTCAGGCAATCCTTCCCCCTCAGCCTTCCAAGTAACTGTATCCAGGTATTCCATACTTCAAGTATTCCAAGTAGTAGAGGTGCATGCGACCACACACAGCTAATTTTTTGATTTATTGTAGAGAGGAGGTCTCACCATGTTGCCCAGGCTGTTCTTGAGCCTGCGGGCTCAGGCAATCCTCTCGCCTCGGCCTCTCAAAGTGCTGGGATTATAAGCTTGAGCCACTGCGCACAGCTGGATGCTTTACTTTCAAAAGTTCATTTAGGTGAACCAGCTTGTTAGAGATACCCAATAAGTGATGTTCTACTGAATAACACACAGACACACATACATTACACAGACTTCTCCTAGTCAGAAACCAGTGAAATAAAAACATTTTTTTTTTTTTGAGTTGGAGTCTCACTCTGTCGCCCAGACTGGAGTGCAGTGGCTGCTCCCGGTCACTGCAGCCTGGACCTGCTGGGCTCCGGTGATCCTTCCGCCTCAGCCTTCCAAGTAGCTGGAACTACAGGCATGCACTACCACACCCGGCTGATTTTTTTATTTTATTGTAGAGATGAGGTCTTCCTGCCCAGGCGGGTCTCGAACCCGCGGGCTCAGGCAATCCACTCACCTCAGCCTCCCAAAGGCGTGGGATTACAGGCTGAGCCACTGAGCCCGGCTGGGAAATAAAAATTTAAGGAGAAATTTAAATTTAAGGCACTAATTTTTTTTTTTGAAAGGAGAATAAGCTAGCATAACCTACCAAGGAGGAGTTCAGTTATCACAAGGGAAACAACATGCTTTGATGATATGGGGTGGAGGCCATCCCAAACACGAAAGGAAATGTAAGTGAAAGTATGCTTGCTTAAAGATAGACCCCTGATATCTCTTTCCCCAGAAAATGACTACTTTGTGTAGAAATTTTGATGCCAATATTGTCCTTTTCTTTTTTTGAGTTGGAGTCTCACTCTGTTGCCCAGGTTGGAGTGCAGTGTCACGCTCATGGCCACTGCAGCCTTGACCTGCTGGGTTCAGGCGATCCTTCCACTTCAGCCTTTCAAATCGCCGGAACAACAGGCATGCGTCACCATGCCTGGCTAGTTTTTTAATTTATTGTAGAGATGAGGTCTTGCCAAATTTCCCGTGCTGGTCTCGAACACATGAGCTCAGGCAGTCCTTTCACCTTGGCCTCCCAAAGTGCTGGGATTATAGGCATGAACCACCGCGCCCCGCCAGTCCTTTTCCATACATAAGCCTCCTCATAGAATTAGCTAACTTTGAATCTGTAAGATGTTCTCAATACGTTTTTCACAGTGAGCTTGAGGAAAAATCTAGGAGCCCCCAGTCTCATGATGCTTATTAAAGTCTCTTTGCAAATAAGCTAGACAGATTTATTTTTATTTTTATTTATATCTGGAGTTGAGGTCTCACTCTTGCTCAACCTGGACTGCAATGGTATAATTATGACTCACCACAGATTCTACCTCCTAGGTTCAGATGATCCATCAGCCTCAACCTCCCAAGTTCCTGGGATTACAGGCACACACCATCATGCCAGACTAATTATTATTATTATTTTTTGTTGTTGTTGAGATGGAGGTCTTGTTATGTTTCCCAGGCTGGCCTTGAACTCCTATCCTCAAGTAATCTTCCCACTTCAGCCTCTCAAATTGCTAGGATTGCAGGTGTGAATCACCACACCAGGTCAACAATTTTTTTTTTTTTTAAATTGGAGTCTCCTTCTATTGTCTAGACTGGAGGGCAGTGGCATGCTCGTGGCCACTGCAGCCTAGACCTGCTGAGCTCAGTTGTGCCTTCCACCTCAGCCTTCCAAGTAGCTGGAACTACAGGCATGCGCCACCAGGCCCAGTTACTTGATTTTTGATTTATTGTAGAGATGAGGTCTCGCCATTTGCCAAGGCTGGTCTCTAACCCATGATCTCAAGCAATCCTCTCACCTTGGTCTCCCAAAGTACTGGGATTGTAGGCATGAGCCATCACACCCGGCTAACAAATTTATTAATAAGACCTTTTCTTCTGGCTCCTGGAAGAAACAACTTGCCTTTTAGTATGTGCAAGAAACTTTTAGAGGCAACAACAACAACAAAAAGGGTATAAGGTTAAGAGAATAATCCTTTGGAGTGCAAGTTGTAAGAAATGACAACATGGCTATTGTAAGAAACATTAAAACAGCTCAGTGGCTCAGCCTGTAATCCCATGCCTTTGGGAGGCTGAGGTGAGTGGATTGCCTGAGCCCATGGGTTTGAGACCCACCT